ATTCAATTTACTATTATTTGATCTTCGAAAAATAAATATATAATTAAGAGCAAGATAATAAAATAAGTAATAAATACATTTTTTATCCTTAAATATTAGTACTTACAGATTATTACTTATTACAATTTATTACTATTATTCTTTATAATATATAATAATATATATTGACAATTACTCACTACTAATTGTCAGTTATCTATCTTTAATTATTAATTACTTATTTCTAATTAGCATATTTTTTTATTTATTATTTTAAAAATGTCTACTGGTCCAAATACTCCTGAAGAATGTAGTGAAGAAGAAAATTTGCAAATGCAACTTGATAATGATATTTATATTAGTGATTTAGATGATGATAATAATATTGAAATTGAACAAGATGAAGAAGAAATTTTACAAAGTTTACAAAATTTAAGTTTTGAAGAAACAGCTACAATAAATGAAGAAGATTTGAATAAAAATTTAGAGTTAGCTCAAAAAGTTAAATTTTTTAGTAGAGTTAAATCAGATGTATAGAAATATGTAGATGAAGAAACTCAAAAATGTTTAAAATGTTCTAAAATATTTAATTTAACAACAGCAACTACTTCTATTCATACTCATTTACAACAGCAACATAATTTATTATTAGAAAAAGAAAAATCAAATCTTTTAATTAAAAAATATTCAGTAGAAATTCAAGCAGAAAAAACTCAGCCAATTTTTGAATGGATTATCTTAGCTCTTAAACCATTTAAAGTAATAGAAGATAAAGCTTTTCAAAATATAATTCATAAACTTGATCTATTTTATCAAATTCCTAGTCATAAAATTATTAAAACTTTAGTTATTGATCAATTTAATTATCAAAGAACTTTGATAAAAAATTATCTTAGTAAAATTTCAAGTAAAATTGCTCTTACAACTGATTTTTAGACATCTTTAAAAATGGAAAGTTTTATGGCTATTACAATTCACTTTATTGATGAAAATTGGAATTTACAGCATTTTGTATTAGATATATTTCACTTTAAAAGATCTCATACTGGAAAAATTATTGCTGATAAACTATATAATTTACTTGAAGAATTTGAAATTGAAACTAAAGTTATTGCATTAACTACTGATAATAGTTCTAATATGATTTCTGCTGCAAATTTTTTACAAGATAAATTAACTGATTTTTGTCATTATAGATGTATAGCTCATATACTTAATTTAGTAGTTTCAGCTGGTTTAAATCTTTTAGATAATTCAATTAAAAAATTAAGAAAATTAATTAAAATGATCCGTAAATCACCTAAAATTTTTGAAGATTTAAAAAATATTATAACTTTAGATGATAAGCCTTTTTTAGCTCCAATTTTGGATTGTAAAACAAGATGGAATTCAACTTATCAGATGGTTAAAAGAGCATGTTTACTTTATGAATCTATAGAAATGTTATTAGTTAAATATTCAAATTTAAAAACTTATATGCCAAATGAAGAAGATTGGAAAATTTATAAAAATTTAGTTGATTTATTAAAACAATTTTATGAAGCTACTATTGAACTTTCATCACAAACTTATCCAACAATAGCACATGTACAAATAATTTTATTATCTCTTAGAAATGATTTAGAATCTAAAAAAGATATAAATTTTTCATTACATTATGTTAATGATGCTATGTTATATAAATATATTGAATATTTTAATTTAATAACTGAATCATTACATATTTCTGCTTTTTTAGATTCTAGATACAAAAAATATTGCTTTCCTAATATGACTGATGAAGAGATTCTAATACCAATTAGACAAAAAATAAATCAACAATTACCTTTATCAATAATTAAACCTAAAAAACTATCAAGTTTTTATCAAAAATTAAAATATACATCACAACCAAACCAAACAATAGATGATGAAGTTCAAAAATATTAGTTATATGCAGAAGCAGATGAAACTATAAAACTTTTGAATTGGTGGAATACTCATACAGCAGAATATCCAATACTTTCAGAACTTGCTCATAATTATTTGTATATTCAAGCTAGTTCAGTTCCATGTAAACAACTTTTTTCAATTGCAGGTCAAATAATTAATAAATTAAGAAATAGATTAAGTAATGAATCTGCAAGAGCATGTTTATATCTACATAGTTGGTTACCAAAAAATATAAAATAATTTTATTATATTTAAAAATATTATATATTTATTTTATATATTTTAATATATATTTATTTAA